CAACTTCCCATATCATAATAGCACTTAAAATGCAAAAATTCATTCTTCTTTTACTTTCACTTAAATTATTGATGAGAACATTTACGAGAGTCATTAAACGAAGCCAATTAATTTGTTTTTCTTTTCCTATCGAGACGACATTCTTTTCCATCTATGGACATTCGTTTTGCCTTCAAGCTTCCACTCACAAATGGTTAATGAATATTTTATCATCAAATAGAACGAAAAGAACAGAAACTTGGCAATAAATTGAATCTAGACAACACTGATTGTTGACAACTAATTTTCTCATGACCTATGGAGAAGTTGTTTAAGATTTTTTGAGACAGGACACTGTTTTTATGTTTGATTGGGTGTATGGAAGCATTTAGGAGTGGATTTTGTGCTCTAATAAATCAAATCTTTGGTGATTCGCCAAGTTTTTTGGACATTAAAATGAGTAAAATTGAAAATTTTATCTGAAATAAATCGGAAATGATTTTTATCAGAAATCTTTGCTTCTTCTGTTACAAAATGTTCGTACAACAGAACTTTAATGATGTGTCAATGATCTTTAAACCAATTTTTTGAAACTCTTCAGACTTCCTAATTTAAAATTGAAACTCTCAAAATTATTTCCAAGAAATTGCAAGAAAATTACATAAAATTGTTTACTAAATGTCACTTAAGACCCAAAACTCCCTGCAACGTTTTTCAACAAATACAAAATTTACGATGCTCATTAAGTATCACTTGATAAAAGTCCAATTAAATTGTTTCAATGTTGCATTCTGAAAACAATTTTTTTCATCTTCGTTGTCACGAGACAACTTTTTTATCTCTCATTTCTGTTGGCAAGAGCTTTACATTCTTGTTCATTCTTGTTTCATACACAGACAGACGCTTAATTTGCATTCAGAATGGAATTTCTTTTGCATAAAAAAAAATACCACAAACGATTTTCAACATGAAAAAAATGAAAAGTTAAAAATCACAAGAGAAATGAAAAGTTTTCTTTTTGATACATTTTTTATGAAGTTTTCAACATTCTCGTCTGTGTTTTAAAATATTTATAGAGAAAATTAAATGAAAAAGATTTTTTTTTTTAAAATTCCTTTTGAGAGTGAATGAAGTTGTATAAAATCAGGATGAATGAAAAAGGAAATTGAGAGGAAAAAGCAAGTTTAAAGTTTGGCAGAATGAATATTCGATTTTAAATTGTGATGAAGGTAATTACACGAAATAAGTAGGAAACAGGAGTAATGATGGGAATAAAATTCAAATTAATTTATGGAAGCTAAATAATTCCTTTTTTACACTTGTAATGAGATTCAAAAGTTCTGCATTGAATTGTAGTTTGCAACTTAAAAGTATTATTACAGCTTTTATGGCACGTTTCGTTCTGGCAGAAGCAACTTATTATTGCACAGTCATTAAAACATTCACAATGATGAAAGGCAATAGCATAACCTTGGCTTAACCTGTTCAAACTCAGAATCAATCCAAAATTCACAAGGCGTGGAAACTCAGGATTAATCCTTAAAAATCCCAAAAATCCTAAAAAATCCTGATTCATTTGATGAATAATTTCGGGTTTTAAAAGGGATTTCACATTTTCATGATTATTGGCTCAAGGATTTTTATAGGGTTTTTCAGGATTAATCCTGAGTTTCCACGCCTTGAAAATTCCTCAAAATTGCAACTTTTTCTCCACCATATTCGAATATCCATTAATTCCATTCATTCTTCTTTACCAAATGTAATATCAATCGGAATAAATGACACATGTCAAAAACACAGAAGAATAAGAGTGACAACATCCAAAAAAGAAGTAGTGAGGTAGTAAGTCCATTTACGAGAATTACCATTGAGAGATTATTCGATGATGAAAGTGATATGAAGGAATGAGGCAAAAGGATACGGAACAATAATTTTTACGATTATTACAAGGCGTTATAGGAAGTGAAAAGGCATTTAAGGTTGCCACAAGGATTTTTATTATTAACCATTTTTTGGAAAGAAAATTTTCTCGATTCGATTCTTTTTCGTCCTGATAGTTAATGGCATGATAAAAGAAGATAAAGGAAAATAAGATTAAATGTGATGAATAAAGAGAAAATTTTTTGGCAATAGCTATCAACCATTACTAATAATGTAGTTTTCGGAAGTCTGTGTAGCAGCATGTTGAGGTGGATTGCGTGAAACAAGAAGAAAAAGTTTTGGTTTTTGTTATTTTTTAGGGGGGTGCGGAGTCATTAGTGTAATAATTATGGACATTTTTATTACAGCACTTAAAAATGTATTAAGTGGGTGATTTCTTCTTAATGATGATTAGATTATCGATTCATTTCCATTAATTTATTGAAATTAAATTTGATCGTAAATATTAATTAAATTGGCGATAAAAATTGGAATTGAGAGATTATTTGGTAGTTCCAATGATGTTACAAGTTTATGACAATCTTAGATTTTATCTTAATTTTATCAAGCATAAGATTAATAGGTTTGAGGTTAGAATTGTGAAAAATTTTAAGTTTATCTTAATTACTTATTATTCTTAGCAATTCTGTTTCACAATCATTTCAAAATTCAACCTTCCATTTCCCACCTTACGACACAAAACTTTGTCATTCTAAAGAATTCTCAAATCAAGTCATAAACTTTTCATTTAAAGTCTCAAACATATTTTTTTCAATTAGTTTTCTAAAGTCATAGTTCAGTTCCTGAAACATTATCTAGTTCTCAGACGATTAAACTTTGCGATTAAGTTTGAGTTTCAATCGCAAACAAAGAAAAAAAGTTTTGCTGAATTCTGCAGAAAATGATATTTGGAATGAAAATTTTATTTTGTGGAAATTCTTGCGACTAGGAATAAAGAAATAGTTTAATAAAAATTTATAAACTGAAAATCTTGAATTTTTGTTGAAACCTTGAGTAAATGAAAAATTCTTAGAACAAATTAATCTAAAGACATCAACATAACTTCCCATAAAAGGAACCAAAAAGAAACAAGAACTATTTTGTGTATCCAAAAAGAGCAAGTCTGCAAAACTTGCTTTATGTTTATTTCATACAATTTAACATTGCAATAACTGAAAACAACGCTCAGAGGTTATCAAAAATTTACGAACAGGATTACTATCGTGTGAGATCTGAAGCTTATTTTTCCATCACTAGAACACAATAAATGTTGCATTTGGGACGCATTGTAGCATGAGTTTTACTAGTTTTGGATTCGAAGGAACAAGAAGAAATGTATCTGGCAATAAATGAATAATTACACCTCTGTTGATACTTTTTTGGCTTCGAGACATAAGGAACATGATGAATTAGGTTCGAAATGGTAAAAAATGGTTAATAAATTTATTACAGCTTCCAATTTGTGTCGTGAAACGAAATTTCATTTTCTTGAATTGCTGAAGCTTTAACAATTGTAATTACAAATTATTCCAAGGATATTTATCAAAATCTGGCAATCTTCATGCTCATCAATCATATTTTCTTATTAATATCATCTTCATTACCTAAAAGAATGCTTGCCTTTTCTATTTCCACACGAAATCATGAATTATGATTTGCTCATAAATTACAATTTTCGGTCTAGAGAACTGTCATAGTTCATAGCTAACAGCCTCCTTACAATTTCTTCTATTATCGTTTCTGATGTCTCTTTATAAGATCAGTTTTTCCAGACTTTTTATTGCTCGCATCCGGAATGTCCTAATTTCATTCAAACGCTCGACAATGTCCATGATGCTAAGAATAAATTGTTAGTAATTTCTCATTGACCCATTTTTCCATCCTCGCCTCGAATTCATGAAGAAAAATGTGTTAAATAAAGAGAATAGAACGAAATTCGAGATGTTGCCATTCCTTAACGTTTAAATTAAAGGCAAGAAAGGTTCGTCTTATGATTCATAGTCAAATTTCTTTCGGCCACAAGTGTTAATTTTACCTTTGAGTCATTAATTATGTCTTTTTCTTGCTGTATAAAAGGTCTTGACAATAATTTTCATCCTTAATATCTTTCACTCGTTGTTCCATTCTCTTGAGTAGCTTCCTTAAAAAGCTAAAGGAAAGCATTAATAAGTTTTCTTTTTAAGAAAAGTAATTTTAAATGTTTTCATGTTTTTAGCTTCTTTTCATGACTATAAAGTGTAAATTTAAGGACGGTCCGTGATGTTTTTGTAAACACGGGATTGTTGTTTGTTTTGAAAGACTTCTTATTGTCACGTTAAATGTTTTTAAAATGTACTTTCTGAGCGATTGAAGGTTTACAAAGTTATATAAACTCTTAAATAGATTTCTAAAGAAAGACTTGTGTTGCTCGGGCTTTTTAATATTGAAAAATTAAAATAATGAAGAATCAAATTTAAACTTGAAAGTACTTTGATGATATTTTTGGGAATTAAGCATAAATATGATTGAGGGGTATACAACTTATTAAAAATTTAAATTTATCTGAACTTAAAGTATTGTTTGTTGCATATACTTAAGGGGTTGTTGATTGATATGTTATTGAATCCACAACTCGAAGTTTTGAAAATGTTGTAGTTTAGTTCATGTTCATTGAGAATAGAAATCGAAAGCTTCAATTCATGGTCAACTCAATGATGATTAGGCCTTCCCATTAAGCTAAGAAGATATTTGCATTTAACACCTAAAATGTAGATGGACTAAGTTGGCTTAAAGATATAAAGACACTCTATAGTAAGTTCAAATGTCTTGTGGGTTCAATAGAGAAGAACTGATAGAGTCTTGAATATAGATTCCTAGCCCTTAACCTTTAGCATAGCTATAAAAACAAGCTACAAGAATCAAATTCTTCAAAGAATTCATATTTAATTCAAGACTAAGCTCAAAATAACTTCCGATGCTGTGTTCCAGTCATTGCTTCGCCGATGCTATTGAACAATTCTCAAAAAAATCTGCTGAAAACATAAAAAATTGCAGTCATAATAAAAACTCAACAAATTTAAATTTTTTTTCAAAATAATTTTTTTTTCTTCATTTTTTAGTTTCTTCCATTAATATTCTCATATTTTTACAAATTTCATAAGTATCGACTATACTAAGATAACAAAACTTTGCATTTTATCATTGTTGATTGTAACAAAAATATTTTAAGTGCCTTATAAATACAAAATGTCTTCCCTACTTAATGTCTAGTCTTTAATACAAAAAAAAAATTGTGAAAAATATTTTATATAAAAAATTATTATTTTGTCTTCCATAAAATTAAAAAAAAAGTCTCTTTCTAAATCTTTGATTTTTCGTTTATCGTTTGACAATTTCATTTATCTTTTAAAATTGTGAACTTAAAATTCTAATTTTTCTCGTTATAATTTCATAATGACTTAAGTTAAGTTCGCATAGGTCTTGGATTTAATTTTAATTCTTTGTTGAATTATTATTTGGATCAACAATTTAGTCTATAGATTTAATCTTCAAGCCCAGCTGTATCATTTCTTGGAGAACAAATGTTATCTTGTCTTAGCTTTCTTTCTGCTTCAATTAACATGAAGATTTATATTCACAATCATATGTCTGTCCAAATACATAAATCTAATCCAACTGAAGAAAAGCTTTATTCTTCTTACATTCCATTTTTATATATCTTTGCCTTGTGAACAGAAAGTAAAAGATATATGAAGCAATAAAAATGAGGGTAGGAGGGATGGATGGAGATCTTAAAAGTAATTTTTGGCAATTGTTTGAGTCAAAACGTGTTTTTATTTTCATCTCAAAACTTTTTTTTCGTTCCTTTATTTTCTTTCAATGTTGATTCAAATAAATGGCTGGTGTGGCAGTTATGTCATACATCAAATGCTGCTGTTTTCAACTTTTTCTGACTAGAAATCGATTTAACGCCATTTATAAACATGGTGATGCCATACTCTTTGACTTGTTGCCTCTTAGTTTTCCACTATTTACGATTTATACGTGCGAATAACATCACGAATTGGTGCTCGACATAATGGACATACACCGCCGTTGATACCACCACGCCAATGTTTTATCGCGCAATCATAACACATGCACATGTGACCACACATGTACAGTACAGAATCTATTGGATTTTCGTAGCAGATTGTACAGTCAACACCTGGTGTATCACCATTGGATCCACTGTAGATTGATGCTGAGCCATAGATAGCACTGCTAGTTTCAACAAATGATGTATTCTGTTGCTTTTTGGATGGAACTGATGCATAGATTGCTGATGTGCTCTCACATAATCTTGTTGCACTCTATAATTGATAAAAATAAGGAATTTATTAGTTTCATTATGTATAAAGGCTCAGCCTTAATGAGGATTGATTGATAATCCACAGATTAATACGAAAATAATTAATAGACAACACCTACCCGTGAGCGATTGCTAATTGTTGTTGATTTAACATTTACGGGTGGAATATTAACGACTAGAACTGTGCCTCCATGTTGAACTTGAATATCACCACTAGAATCATTAGAAATATATGTTGTAGCATTTGATAGTCTTGACATTGAGGTTGAACTGATCGTTTCCACAGGTACTTGAGCTTGTGCTGGCATAATACGATGATTGAGCGGTACAGGTGACGTAAGTGCCTTCTGTATACTCATTTGTGGTGGTTGATGATAAGCTGGTGGGATCTTTGACAAGACACGAATACCCTGAGTTGAGCCATAAACATCAAAGAATCCCCACAATTGTAAACTTTGGTCTATAAACATTAATGTTATTGGTGCATTATCATTTCGACTTATTTGCACTTCACCAGCCATTGTGACACTAAATTTAATCTCATCACCACGTTGAATTGGAATCACTTGACCAATTTCTTTGCTAACGACCCAATATTCTGGACGATCAAGGAGCACATCGCTATCATCAGGCAAGTCGGATGGTAATAAATTTGATGGATTGCATGATGTTAAACCGACAGCAAGACTTCCGCCATACAACGAATCATTTTTAAGTATCTGAATGATAAATTGTTCGCCATATTTAATTGGACGTTGTGTGAACACGTAGCCCTGACAAAATTCATTTTCTACGCGTGATGCAATCGTTCTATCTTGTGTGAGTACAACATTACGTCCAGTAAGTGGATGAAATTGAAGTGCCTGATAACCAGCAATGACACCTTGATTTATCATATTATTACTATTGTGTATTGTCTGTCGACGTTGAGTATCAATCGATACACTTTGGATTCGATCATTAATATCATAAATGTCTTGTGTTGCTGCTGGAACAGCTGGTAATGGTTCTGTCACTTGTCTTCGAATTGTTTGTGAATTTGAGCAGTTATATGTTCTTGAGTCTATAAATTCACAGGCCGTTGAATTTCCATAAATATCAATCATTGACCATAATGGTCCACGTGTATCTACATCTGTGATAAACAGTCCTTTCTCTTCACCATTAACTCCATAATGTACTTCACCCGATGATGTAACATAATAGAACAAGACATTATCACGCTGACAGAAACGTTCATGTAATGCCTTTCCCCAAAATCCGGGTTTATTTGTGAGATCAGGACATGCATATTTTGGTAATGTTCCTTCCAACGATGTTGGATCCATACATGTAAATCCAAATCGAATTACACCGCTCCAGTTATTTGAAATCTCAACAAAGCGCACACATACTCGTTCATTTACTTTAACAGGACGTGCACTGAATGTAACGCCTTTACAAAAGCTCTCGTAACGACGAGCGACTTTACCATCTCGAGATATACGAATATTGTCTCCATGAACACTGTGAAATTGTAGGGGCGGTAGATTATTTGGACCAGCACACGATGAATTTGATGTTCGGGATGCTATGGAATGAAATAAAAAAAAGACATTGAATTAATTTTGTGTTTCTGCTTCAATTGAAAGTGAGATTAAATTTATGTAAAAAGTCAGTGGCTTTCGGCAATCAACTGCGAATAAGAGAACAGGAAATGAATTAAATTCATTTAAATTTTCGCACGGTAGTTTGTATGGTTTAAAATCATTGACGGTGGAATGGAAACTTGATACTTATAATATCACAAAAAAAAAAGTATCGGTGTCGCTACTTTGAATTGTGTGCAATCATGAATGGATTGATCAGGTAGTGAGTCAATAGCTTAAGTATTTGGTTGATTAATTTGTTTGAGCAACGACCTTTCAATCACTCAACTGTGTGCTTAATCAAGATAGTCAAGAGCTATCTAAACTAAGCACTCAAGTCTATCAATCTAGATCTGTGGTGGGCAACCTTTTTCGTTGCTAGGGACAATTTATGGACCGCGGTATATTAAGTTAACCATTACTGAATCTAGATATGATTCATCACATCCGCTGTTAGGCATTCTGCATAATATTTAGTACAAAAAAATCTCAATAACAGTTACTGATACATTTTTAAGGTTGCACAATGGGAATCAATTGCCAATCTTATTCACAGCGCTAAATCTTCATCTTCTTCTTCTTATTGATTCATTATTATTATTTTTCTGGTTACGGACGATTGATTGATTTGATGGAATCATTTAACAGTCAGAAAATGAACTGTAAGCAAATTTGTTTACCAAATAGATTTCTGACCATTAGATTATTATTTTCCTAGTTGTTTGTCTGTTGATCACTAAAAAGGCATTTCAATCTCTTCATCTCTAAATTTTTGACGTGCCACGGTGAATTGTAATAATTGAAATAAATTATCATCCCATTCATAAAGATTAACTTCACGCTATGGTTGATGCTATAGTCTCTTTCTCTTCTTTTATTATTATTTTAATGTTCTTAACTCATGCGGAAAATTACGTAAGAGAATTCATCATATAACTGAGTTAAAGTTGAGTTGGAAGTCTGTTTTTGGGGATTTTCATTTTTTGCTAGAGGCCTTGGATGTTCCTTGAAGTTATTTCAGCGTGAAGTTTAATGAACCTGTGGGAATTTGCGGAATTTTCAATGAGCATGCATGTGATTTGAATGGATTTTATGTCTCAGGAAGTAATCGAGACATTTTCAAACAGAAGCTAAATACCTGAGAATGTTAATTGACATGAGAGTGACTATATTACAGTATATGAACAAACAGAACTCTCTCAATTCAAGAATTTTCAATATCCACAATCTACAATCTTTAAATCTTACAAAGATCAGCACTAAACCCATCAAATACGACTCACAACCTTCTCAAAACCTTTCAAAATTCACCACAAGTTAAATATCCAAATGGGCCATTAATTTATTATAATTTCCATATAAGCAACATCAAACAACTTCTGCAGATTAAAAGTAGTAATAAAAGTAATCGATCAATGAAGAATTGAATTGGAGTTAATAAATATCTGACATAAAGAAGATTCATAGCGTTTAGGAAGTTTTTTTAAGAGTCAAAAGAGCGCAACAGCATTTACACAACCATTAATCATCTTTCCGAAAAAAAATAACAGCATTTAAGAGTAGAAGACGTGTGTGTGTATATTTAATGAATCATTCACATATATTATGCGGTTTTCATTGCTCTATCATTCCAATCTGCTACTCTCTCGTCATAAACCACAATAGCCTCAAGAAAAGTAAATGAAACTTGAGTGAAATTAAATATTGTTGATGAATATGGAAGTAAATAGAAGGAACATCATCTTGTTATATGCGGAGCAAAATGTTTATTCCTTAATTGATGTGGTTTACTGCATTGAATTATAAAGCGTGAGATTTTTGTGGAATATTAATTTTTTACAACCCTGAGCGCCATGAACGTCTTATGTCAGGTAAAGTTTATGTAAATTTTAATTTCTTCCCAGGTACATCCACACATTCGCACTCAGCATGAGCTATAAATTTTCACCTACGATTTTAAGACAAATGCTAATCGTAAATCATTTGTCTGTCCCTTTTTCGGCCATTTCCTTCCTACCCAAGATCCTCTTTCTCTTCTTAATTTTTATGACGACCTTTCACAGATTCTCTAATTTCATTCCATGTGCCGATTTATATATTTTTTTTTATCTTCCTGTGTTCCTTTTCTCTGGCGTCCATGGCGCTGATATTCAGGCAAATAAAACTTTATGGACATTCTCATTCTTTTTTGCTTTCCTGTTGTCATGTTTTCTTATTCTCAGTCTTCCTTGACTAATTTTAAATTCTTGAATTTGCATAATAATTTTCTTCCTGCTCTTATGCCTGACTGTGTTTTGATTATTTGATATTCATGTGATCGATATTGGATATAAGAAGAGTAAACAAATTCTCAGGAGGTACGGTAAAGAATTTCATGAGTTCTAAGAAGAATTTTGTTTATGATTTCTAGTTGCTTGAATATTTTGCATTTGAATGACGCTTCAGCCATCTTTTTAAGATATAAAAACAAGCATCATATCTGGAAGATGTTTAGATATATTGAACATGCACCCTCATACTGAATATCAGTGCCAAGGCATCAATATTAATGAGGGTTCAAAAATCGATGCAGATGTCAATAGACCCAAAAATACAACAAAAAATCCCAAGAAAGAAAAGATTCAGGTATCCAAAATATGACGCTCATAAAACTGCACAACATATGCAGCTTGGGTTTTTTTTTTCTTTCTGACTTAAGAAAATTCGTGTTGCACATTGTGTTGCTTCATTCTCCCCCTTCACAAAAAAAAAAATATTAAATTTTTACATGCATGCATAGTAAAAAGAAGAGATGAAAAAAAAGGAATAAGAAAAGAACAGACACAAAAGGTGTTTTCGTTCCAAAAAAAGAACCTATTTTTGTTCTGCTCATTTTTCTCTCTTTGATTCCGATTGAAATTGAACAAAAATTGTAAGTTTTGGATGAAAAGAAATAAACGTCGTCAGCTGCTCACGTAATTTCTCATTTTTCATAGCTTACTGGACACAACTCACAAGCTGGCTGATTTTTTGGGGTATTTTTGAAGTTGATGAGATGATTTTTTATATTTATTGAATTTAGGAAGGGATATTTTGGGAAAAAATTCTTAAGTGCCGATCTGTCTTAATATTCCAAACGATTAAAACTTTAAAATGACTGTAATTTGAATCTTTAAATCTATAAATCCTCATATCTACTTGATAATTAAAGACTTTCATTGAACATCTTTGTCTAAACTTCCATTAAGAAATTCTGATCACATATTGACAATGAGAATAAAACTTAGTCTTAATAATCCAGCTTATCTTTCGTTAATTCTTAATTATTTTTCTGTTTCTAATGTTTCACCGACAAAAGATTAGGATGGAGTAATAAGGACTAATTATTCATAAATGTATGGAAAGAATTGGAAGAAAATTGAAAGTAGTAAAGGACAGACTATGAGCATGTGGATGATGTGAATGTGATCTGGATTTGACAGAACAATTTGTCCTGTTACTTATTCTTGTGGATTTAGAATTGACTAGATTTTATTTAATGATGAGAAGCCACAATATCAAATTTTGGTTCTTCTACTTTAATTATTAAGCATATTAAAGTTGCGAAAGTCTTTTTTGAACTTAATGTTCAACAAAATGATCAATACTAGTCTACAGCATACAAAGATTAAGAAAAGCCCATCAAAATGAGCAAAGGATTTAACTACTTGAACTAATTACCACGATTATCTTCAATTTGACAAGAACAAACGTGCAGCAAGTTTAAGAAACAGACCATAAAAGTAATCCCAGATCTTCCTATTTAATTACTAGTCTAAGTAGAAAATATTTCGATTTATCCTTTCTTTAAGGCTTCTTAAGAAGTGCCTAAGTCTTAATTTCTTATTACTCTTCAAGATTTTTATTGCTGACTGTTTACTTTCATTATCCATTCTCCAAGTTTTTTCTAAGAAAAATTATTTTAAGTACAGCTAAGATAAACATCGTGTGCGCCGTATTTCCATTAAAAAGAATTTCTTAAATCTGTTTGAAGAGGCTTTGAGGAAAACGAAACAATTTTTTTTTAAGAATTACCATAAAAATCCTTGATGAATTAATTTCTTTCGAGAAAGACATTCAAGCACAGCTTGAAATTAAGAAAAACAAGAATAATTTAAATTAATTTCGTAAACAGAAGACAAAAACAATCCAGCACATCCTTTTCCTCGAATTAATTGGTACTATATCTCAGTACTCATGTATATATTTATACCATCATGACATGAGACTCTTTGTTTATACTTAAAAAGTTTTATAAATACACGCATTTATGTATCAAGAAGATTCTCAGAGATGCGACTGGCAAGAAGATGTCAAGTGTCGTGTGTATGAAATTTCACATTTCCTTTTGAGCCTGCTTTTTAAGAAATGTATAGACATGAATTTTTTTATGATGTGCTGCTAAAATTAAACTTTTCCAATTTTATACTCGTGTGACTCATGAAATGAAGTTTTCGTGGAGGAATGCTGGACTATTTTTGGATTTAATTTATGACTTTTAGTTCTATGTAACATGAACTAGAATTATATGAATGGAGTTGAAATCTGGCATTAGTTAAAAATCATATACTGATCAGTTTTATACCCCCATGACCCCCTTTAATCCAACTTCATTCTAAAGTCTGAAAAGTCTTTTTCACTCAACCGCCACAATAATTTTTTACAGCTCATAATTTTTTCACCAAAAACACAATGAAAAAAAGTTGAGTAGAACCATGTGATGGAACTCAATATCTCTCCGTGCAGTACAATAATGTTGATGATGATGTAGAATAATGTAATTTTATGAAGCATGGCAAGTAACCAAGCAAGTTGAAGAGTTCTATTTTATAAAATTTTTATTATACACATTTTTTTCCCTACCAGACAGTGCCAGTTGTTGGAAATCATTGAGTTGAACACATGTTCCATGAAATACACACAT